AAACTTTTATCTAATTCCATCATACTTTTTATATTAGAAAAGAAAAATTCCAAAAACTTTTGTTACACACTGTATCTGTCCATGCATCACTTTTTGTGCCCATGTCACTCACCCTTTTGAAGCACAATGCAAACATCAAGCATCGAATTCGTATGAAGACGACTATTTTCATGCACTGAAAAAACATCGGCCTTCAACGTTCGGCCATCCATCGTGCTGGAAATCCATACAGAATTCAGATCCTCACTACTTGAATCATCGTCCAGCGACTGCCGAAGGAGACCCGGTTACGCTCCTTCATCCTTTATTTGCCATGTTTTATGATGACTGTGAAACAGCGAAACCAACCGAAACTGATGCTAAATTTGTTCTGGAGATTATCAAAAAAATGTCAGATGTCTTCGATGATGAAAAGGCAAGGATGACAGTGTTCCATGAAATCTATGACAAGCACTACAGGATAAAATTGAAACAAGTCAGCATGGACAGTTGCACAATGGGTGGTTCAGGCTTCGATTCAGGCAGTCGTCTTATGACAATCAATTTGGAAGCGAAACCGGAACTGGGATTAGGCAATGGTTGCCCTTATATTCAGGGTATTACTTATTATGGAAGACACATGGCCGACATTGATAAAAAGTTCAGAGCACGAGTTCGATTGCCATGCTTTGTGTTATATCTTGCAGGTGAGAAGCTTGTTCTATTTCTTGATCTGCATACATACACTTGGAAAATTCTAAATTTGCTTTTCTAATTTTACTTTTAGGACCATATCTCGGTGTTGCTGGAGTCATAATGACAGACATTGTAACTTGCGATCCTTTTACACTGATCCTTCCTTTATTACTACTTCGCCATGATATGCGAGCAATGTTTTGTTTAGCGCAAGTGTTCCATGCTTTCAACAAAGCAGTGGTGTCTATGAAACAGCATTATGATCAAGGCCCTCCAAAAATCGCCCGCACTCAAAGGAGTTTTCCATATATTGATTCTTTCAGTACGTTCAATGGATCAACAGTCAAGTTTAAGTACGTCAAGCGGCTTTGTAAAAATAAGTTAGTGTTTCTCATCGAAAAGGAGAACGATGATTCTGCGCTTCCAAATCGTCTGATTGTGAAATTTACGCGGGATTATGGAGAAGTCGTGCATAGAACTTGTGCAGAAATGGGGTTTGTGCCTCAACTCTTCGGCTGTTGTAGTATTTTGGGAGGTTGGAAAACCGTTGTAATGGAATTTATTGGGAACGAATATCACGATGTAGCAGACGATGTTCATGACTCATCCTCTGCTTACAAAATCAGTCAGGCCTTAAGAAAGGTGGTTGAGAAGATGCATGCGGAAGGATTTGTACATGGGGACATAAGACAAACCAACATTCTTTGGCGAAAAGTCAATGGTGATATTAACGTTGCACTTATCGATTTTGATTGGTCTGGTAGAGTTGGTGAAGCCATCTACCCCTTGTATATTAATCCCAAAATTTCTCGCCATCCTGGTGCGATAAATTACTGCAGAACATGACTTGTGGATGGTGGACAATCTTTTCTCAGAAAAATTTCTTACTGTAGACAGCAGTGAAGAGAACACAGATTAGCAATAACAATTAGAAAGCCAACAATCGTTAAAGCTTTACAAGTTTTCGAATGTTATTTCAGTTCGCTCAAATTCAGAGGGTTTTTGTGTTGTATTGGTTAATATTAAGTATGTTTCAAAAAAAAAGAGGATAAGTCAGCAGTTTAATAGAGAGAGATAATGAAATAGTTAGTTATCATTGGGTTAACTTTTGAAGGAATTTACCATTGAGCGAAATGAAGTAACTCTCGTTGTGGTAGACGAGTTTTTAGATTTGTAAATAAAGTTCTACAGTGGTGCATCAGAAAAATTTC